CCCCGTGTGGCGGCGCCGCGGCGCCCGCGGGGCTCCCACTGGCCTGCGCCCGGCTCCACCCCCTTCCCAGGGCGTCACCGGCTCTCTGCAGCGAGGGGGAGCCCCACGCCGCCTCCAGCCGTGCTGGAGCCCCTGGGCAGTCCAGGAGACGCGCGTGGACAGGCCATGCTGCGTCCACAGGGGGGCAGCGAGGGGCCAGGCAGTATGGGGCACCAGGAGCGGGGTGCAAGGCCTCCCGGCACCAAACTGAGGCCCTGGCCAGGTCACTGCCCTCAGCCCCTGGGACAGCGCCCTCCCCTACCCTGAGGGCAGCCGGGGTCCCCATGAGAGACCCCTTCCTGGGCTCGCAACAAAGCCCCTTTTCAGTTTGGGACCCTGCAGAGCCCCCTGGGGCCCCGTAAGACGTGGCCACCGAGCAAGTGGCTGTCTGAGGTGGGCTGGCCAGATCCAGAGTCGGGCCTGTGGGGCGCCTAGACGGTCCAGGAGAGGCCATGGCGGGTGCGCGCAGGCCAGGGCGGGTGGCAGGGCTGACTGGCTGGGCCAGCAGTGAGGGCGGCCAGAGGGCTCCAGGTCACCGAGGAGCCAGCAGCCCTGGACGTGCGGCTCAGGCCAGAGGGAGGCCCTCTCCAAGCTGGGAACCGTGGTCACCCGCCGCGGGCGGGCCTGAGCCGGTGCTGGGCACCCCTACCCTGGCCGCAGCCTCCAGGGAGGCCTCGATGGGGAAGGCCGCTCCGGAAAACAGCCCTCAGCTGCCTGGCGTCGGGGTCTGGGCTGTGGCTCAGCCAGCTGTGGCCCCGAATGAAGTGGTGCACGGGCGCCCCGAGCTCGCACGGACTCACATGGACTCATGCGGACACACGGGCACCGCCGGGCTCGCATGGACTTGCACGGACACACTTGGGCTCACACGGACATACACGGTCTCACATGGACTCACATGGACACACGCGGACTCACAGATTCACATGGACACACATGGACTCACGTGGACTCACACGGGCACCCCCGGGCTCGCACGGGCACACAGACTCACACGGACACACGTGGACTCACAGGGCACCGCCGGCACACACAGGCTCATGCAGAGGTGCGAACATTCAGGGACACGTGACTACACGGACACGCACAGTCACGGACACGCCTTTGTGCCAGGTTTGACGGCGAGGTCCGCGCCCTTTCTGGCCGGCGGCCAGGTGTCGCCATGCTTCTGGTCAGGGACATCCCTCGCCTGGGAGGTCAGCTGCCGGGGCTGCGGGCAGGGGCTGGGCTCTGGGGGGAGGCTTGCCCGCAGAGGTGCCTGCCGGCCCCTCTGCCCCCCGTCCTGCCTGGCGCGCTCCACTGGCCGGCCACTCCCAGGCCTGTTGACAGCCTGCTCTCCGGCTGGCCACAGGCTCACTGTCCCCTGAATGTGGATGACACCCCTGATGGCAGCCAGTGGTGGAGGTGGCCATCTCCCACTCCGCGGGCAGGCAGGGCACCAGGCTTCTCCTGGCCCTTGTCCCCTGTACCCCCACATGGGCAGCAGACCCAGCCAAGGCAGCACAGACAGGGAGGCAGCCTCAGCACCACACCTGGTCACAGGTGAGGCGCCCCCACAGAGCAGGGGCTGGGCATCAGGCCTGGCCACCTCTGTGGCCCTCAGGCATGTGGTGACCATCCCAGGGCCGTGTGTACTCAGCTGGCCGGGAGCTGCGGGGTCCCAGCTCTTGCTGTGTGCCGTGCCCCCCTCCCTGCCCAGGCTCCAGCAGAAGCTGCAGGCAGGCCTGGACAGCAGCCCCCGATGACCGCCGGCAGTAACAGGGTGGCCAGCAGGGGGCAAGGGAGGGCCACTGGACCTGCCTGGACCACAGGGTGGCGTCCACACGGGACCCTGCCCACCGCGGCTTGAGCAGGGCCTCGCCTCCCTGCACAGGCACAAGGGGACTCCCCCCTCCACGCTTGGTCCCTTCACCTCTGCCCACTGGGGGCCTCCCGGAGGGGGCCAGGCCGGGCCTGTGGTGCCGCCCCTTGCAGATGCAGTAAGGGCCCCCCCTATTCAGGACACCGGCTGCCAGGGGACTTCCTGGCAGGCCCTGGGGTCGCCCCGACTTCTGGAGGGTGTTGAGGGATCCGTGGGGCAGAGAGGTCACCTGCTGCCCAGATTTGCTGGGGCGGCAGGGGGTTCCCCCCCCCGGCCTGGCACAGCTCCGTGCGCGCCGTGGGGTCTCAGCGGGAGAGGTCATCCAGACCAGCTGCGGTCTGCGGTGCCCGGTGCGCCAGGCTCCTGCTGCCACCTCTGGCCCTGGCAGTGGCGTTTGGGGACCAGCGGTGATGGCTGCCAGCACTGGGGGAGGGAGAGGCTGGGGCTTCCCAGGCCCCGAGCCCCGGTGCTTCCTCCACCTGCTGAGGCCACCCTGGGCGGGAGGGGCGGGGCTGAGTGCCCTGTGGGTGCATGACTGACCAACGCGGCGCGAGGGGCAGGGGCATGCGCGGGGCGGGCGAGGGCAGTGCACCGTCCCTCTGACTCATCCCGGCTCTGCCCGTCCCTGAGAGAGGCCTCCTAGCCTCGCTGTTCGTGGGGGGCTGTCTGCCTGCCCCCGCTCTGCCAGCCGTGCCACGCTGAGCCCCTCCCCACCTCCCCTCCCGTGGGCAGCGGTCATGGCGCGTGGACCATCCTCTGCCTCCTTTGGACTAAGCCTGTTTTGTGTCCTGCTGCTCCCCATTTGCAGTGCGGTGTCCTCCGCCGGCGGCCGGGCTCCTGGGCTCCCCAGTCTCGGGCTGAGCCTGCGCTCCCCAACGGGGGCTGCCCCGTGCCAGCTCTGGGTCCGCGCCCTGCCCTGTGCTCCGGGGACCCGGCTCCGGCCCGGGGGTGCCCCGGGCTTTGTCTGTCTGGAGGGGCCTTCGCTCCGTGCGTCCTCAGGGCCTAGCCCTGGTGGGAGTGGCCAGTCTTCTGGTTTTGCCTCCTGGCATGCAGACCCCTCCGCCTTAAGCGTGAGACCGCTGCGGCCGGGCTGCCCTCCCCACTTGGGCCCCCCTCTGCGGCATTAGGGGCCCCCTCTCTGCAGCATTGGGCCCCCCGGCTGGGCTGTCCGTCCGCGTAGGCCCGGCTGGGGCGGGCAGAGTCTCTGTGAGCTGTTTTGAGGCCGCAGCCTTGGCACGCTCCGGTGCAACCAGCGCTTGTTTTAAGATGGTTTCCCTCGGCGCCCACGGGGCGGGGACGGCGCGTGTGCCGCGGGCTCGCCTGAGCTCTCGGTGCTGTGGCCGGGGGTCCCTCTGGGGACCAGAAGTCCCAGGTCAGAGGGGGGCCGGTGGAGCGAGGCCCCGTCTGCCTCGGTCCAAGACCGCTCAGGCTTCTGCTGCTTGTGGGCGCAGAATTATCCGTTCCAGCCTGGGGCCCTGGCCTGGCCCCTTGGGCTCCACACGTCTGTGTGTCCATCCGGGCGCTCGGCCGGGGCTTGGGTCTGCTGCCCTGCTGACGGCGGCCCTGCGGGGGGAGTCTCGGTCACTTCCTGGGGACCCAGGCACTGGCTTCTCTGGAGACAGGGCGCCTGGCGTGGCTCCCGGGGCCCGGGAGGTGCTGGGCCCCCCGGGGTGCAGGGTCTGCAGCCACCTGCCCCCCGCCCCCCAGCAGAGACCCGAGAGCCCTGAGTGGTCCCCTTGGCAGGGCCTGTGGGTGACCTTGGGGTGCCCCTTGGCCACCTTATCTGTGCTGTGGGTGATAATGGGCCAGGACAGGCGCCCGCGTGACCGGCTTATCTCTGCAGCTCCCCCGTGTCGAGGACGGGCGTCCCAGCCGCAGGGGTGGGGGGGCGTAGGGGCACAGGGTGGCGTGGGGGCGGCCCTCCCCGCCCGGGGTGCCTGTGTCTGTGTGTGTGTGCATGTGCACACGTGTGTGTGCCTGGATCTTGCCCACGTGATGCCATGGTCTGGTGCCCGTGCTGCTTGCTCATGTGTGTGCCCGGAAGGGCTCCGGGGCTCCCCGGGGACATCTTTGGTAAAGCCACGGGCACCCACCAGGCGCCGAGTCCACCCAGACAGTGGAGCCTTCTGCTCCAGAAAGGCTGCCCACCCCTCGCCCACCGCGCTCCCCCGGTGCCTGGGGCCCCTGCCGGCGGCCAGGGCCAGCGCGTGGGGGCAGCTCCCGGGGACAGCCCCTCTCAGGCTGCGGGGTCTGGGAGCCCCGCTCAGCTTGGCCGGGAGCCCCTCCAGCCCCGCGGGCTCTCCCTGCGGAATCTCATTTGCAGCTTCTCGGAGCTCGGGGTTCTCGTCAGGGCGCCCAGCGGGCCGCGGGCCACCTCCTGGCGGGCCTGGCATCACCGGGCGTGCGCGGTGGGCGGCAGGCGGCTCCTCTGCCCCTCCAGGGCTCCCCGGGCCCGGAGCCCCCCGCCCCGCCCCTCCCACGGCCCAAGCCCCCCATGGCGGGCCCCACTTCAGGGCCGCGGTTCCTGGCCCCGGGGACCCTGCCGCGGACCCGGCCCGTCTGGGGGTTCCCTGGGGCGGCCGCCGGGTCTTCCGCCCTCCGCGGCGTTTCCTGAGGGGCTGCGGCCCGGGGGTCAGAGCGTCGGGGGCGCCCCAGCCCCCCCCGGCCGCGGGGCTGCCGCCGGCCACAGGGCGGGCCCCTCGGCGGGGCCGCTCCGGACCGGGGACCGCCGTGCCGGGCCGGGGCCCCGCGGGAGCGGCGGCCGCGGCGGGAAGGCCGGTGGGGTCACGTGGCCGGGCGGGGCGCGGGGCGGGGCGCGGCCGGGAGCGGGCGGGCTCCGGAGGGGCGGGGCCCGGAGGGTGGGGGCGTGGCCGGGAGCGGGGTGGTGCGGCGGACGGGGGCGTGGCCGGGGCGGGCGGGCTCCGGAGGGGCGGGGCGTGGCCGGGAGCGGGGTGGTGCCGCGGCCGGGGCGTGGCCGGGGGGCGTGGCCGGGCGGGGCGGGGCCCGGCGGGGGCGGGGCGGGACGGGACGGGGCGGGCGGCGCGGGCCCCGCCCCTGCGCCCAGTCGGGCGGGCGGCGCGGAGCGGGCGCGCGGGCGGCCATGCCCACCAGCTTCACCGTGGTGCCCGTGGAGGCGCAGGAGGACGGCGGCCAGGACGGGGCGGCCCGGCGCGCGGCGGCGTCGGAGCCCCCCGGGGCCCGCGAGCCCGGCCGCCCCCGCCCGGGTGAGCGCGGCCGCCCCGGCGCGGACAAAGGGGAGCCGGGGGCGCCGGCGGCGGGAGGGCGGGGGGCGCGCCCCGGCCCTCGGGCTCCGGGCGTCCCGCCGGGTCCGGCCGCGGCGTCTCTGGCCCCCCGGCTGGCGGGCCCCCCCCCGCGGGCCCGGGATCCCGGCGGGGCGCCTCCCTCGGCCCCCCACCCCCACCCCCGGCGCGGGCCTCCGCTGGCCCGTGGGCGCGGCTGCCCTGCTGGGCTGCGGACCCGGGGGCACCTCCACTTTCTCAGGGCGCCCCCCGTGCGCGTCCCCCCCCCTCGCCGGCCAGGCCAGGCCAGCAGGGAGGTCAGAGGTCGCACCCGCACCCCCACTTTGGGCATCGGTCCTGGGGGCTGCTGGGTGGGCTGGCAGGTCCCCCGTCCCTCTCCCTCCCCCTGTGGTGTCCCTTCCCGGAGGGGCTCCCGCCCGCTGCCCTGGGCTCCGCCTGGCGTGGACACTGGAGCCTGGGGAGCGCGGGCCCCGCCGCCCGCCTCCTGGCCCCGCCGCCCGCCTCCTGGCCCGCGGGCCGTGTCCTGTCTGGCCTGCTGGGAGCCTCAGCCTGGGCCGGGGTCGCGTCCTCCCTGGGGCACGACCTTTGGCTGCTGGCCCCTTCTTGGCCCAGTCGCCTTTTCTGCAGGCTGCGGCGGGTCCTCCGCTGGCCTTCTTGCTGAGCTGACCTGAGCTGGGGTGAGGGGCCGTGGCCGCCCCCGCCCCGCTGAGCCCCTCCCTGATGCTTCTCAGCCCCGGGGCTTTGGGGTCTTGGCCGTGGGCGCCCACCCAGGGGCTTCCTCCTGAGGTCAGGAGCCCGCAGCCCCCCGGACCAGCATGTGGCTGGACTGGCCTAGCTGGAGCCTGGACTTGGGTGTTTGTGCTCCGCATGTCCAGGCTCCCCGACCGCTGTCCTCGGCACGGCCTGAAAACGCTGCCGGCCGCCCACGGCCCAGAGGCACCGCCTGGCTGGTGTTGAGCTGCCAGTGTGACGGGGCTGGATGCCGGCGCTGACCTTGAGCCACCCCTGGGGCCTGGCCCCTGCCCCTTGAGGTGTTTCTGGGCACGGCTGCCCTGGTGGGCGAGGTTGACAGGCACAGGGGAGGCAGGTGCAGGAGGAGGGGTGTCGAGGGCCATGCAGTCCCTACCTTGCGGCGGGGGCTCCATGCTTGGAGCCCTCGGTGGTCTCCCAGGGCTGGCCGTGGCCATGGGAGCTGGGTGCCCACCTGGGCAGGAAGGATGGCGGGTCCCTGCGTGCTGGATTCTGGGCTGTGGGGTGGCCGAGGGCACCTGTCCCTGACTGTTCTCCTGGGGACCCGCCCTGACGTGCTCTCTGGAGTGGGGCCTGCCTGGTGCCACCCCCCAGGCTGGGCGGGTGGAGGGTGACCGGCGCTGGGCCCAGGGCGGCAGGAGTGTCCCGTGGCCTCCCGGGGTTTGGGCTGGTGCTGCCCCTCCTGGGTCCCTGGCCCCTGTGCCCTGTTTGTGGCTTCTGGCCCTCGGGCCTCCCAGGCTGCTCACTGCCTCCAGGAGGGGGTCTGTGACCCTGAGTTGCTGGCCAGGGTCCTGTCAGCTGTGCTGGCCTGGGGCAGCAAGGGGCCACGGGACTCAGGCTGGGACCCAGACCTCACGGAGCCTGTTGGCAGTGAGCGTGACCTCTGCCCTCCAGCGGCTGCCAGGGCTGCGGGTCGAGCCGTCTGTGGACGCGGGTCCTGGGCGGTGTGGGGCCGGGCGGCCGGGACAGCCTGCCTGGGGACTTGCAGCGGGTGCTCTGCCTCCCAGACGCCATGGGGACCGTTCCTGGTGTGAGACGCGGCGCCGGCGACTCCAGGTCACGGGACACGTCTCCCGTCCCAGGTTCCCTCCCCGAGTGGGGCTGCCACGTGGACGAGGCTGAGAGCTGGGGCAGCCGGTGCCCTCTCTGGCTGGTCGGGGCCCAGCCGCCTTCGGGGCAGGGTCTTTCTTCAGAGGCCAGACCCCTCTGAACCCAGGCGCGTGTACATCTGCACGTGTGCCGGCTTGTACATGCATGTGCATGTGTGTGCTGGATGTGCACGCAGTGAGGGGCAGGCCAGATGGCGGTTGCCAGCACTCACATGGGTGCCCTGAGCCCCCCACCTCCCTGGCCACAGCCCCGGGGTGCAGGCCCAGGCCCCCTGTGTGCCCAGGCCCGGTGGTGCAACGGGCGGTCAGAGGGTGGGTTCCCCTCTCGCCTGGGGGTGGGAACCACGCACACGCTGCCGCCTCTAGCAGCTCAGCTTGGCTAATCTCAGGGCATCCCCCGATGCCACCTGCCCAGGTTCGGGGGAGCTCTGCCTCAGGCCAGGTGGCGGCAGGGCCAGGGGACTCCCTGGGGGCCTGAGCCCAAGGAGCAGGGCCTGAGGCTGCGCAGTGGCTGGCGGGGTTCGGGCTGGGGAAATCTTCCAGGCCGTGTCCTTGAGAGTCATGGCGGGCACTGCTGGTGGCGGGTCAACATCCCCGCAGGCCCGCGTGGTCACGCTCAGGCCCACCGTCTGCGTCAGCGGTGCTCCCGGGCATGACTGGCGCATCTCCTGGTGGGGTCGGCTGGCCTGGTGAGCGGGGCTGTGCCCTCATGGCCCTGCACGGGGATGTGAGCGGGGTGGCGAGGGTTAAGCCCTTGCCTTCGTGAGCCGGGAACTCCCTCCTGGGCCAGAGCTGCTCCAGGCAGATAAGCCTTGGGCCTCAGTGCCCGCCCCCACCCCCCCACCTCCTGTGTCCATGGCCACTGGCCCGGGGTCCCGCAGCCTCCACCAGGAGCCCCGGTGAGCGCCTGTGCGGGGCGGGCTCCTGCCAGGGTGTCCGGCCTGCGGCCCTGGGCCCGGCCACCTTCTCTGGGTGGTTTGGTTCTGCAGAGCGTGACGCCGGAGGAGGCGGGGGCCCTGTGTGTGCTGTGGCCCGCGGGGTCGCCTGCATTCCGGGCGTGCCTGAGCCGCGGCCCGGGGCTGTCGGGAGGCCGCTGGCCCTCAGCCCGCCTTTGCCGTGGGTCAGCAATGCTTTCGGTTCCGGCCCGCACACTGCGGCTTCAGCCCTGACGCGCGAGGCCTGTGGGCGCCGAGTCTGTCCACGCGGTTGAGCGCCTGTCCATGCAGAGCCCCTGGCGCGCCTTCCCACGAGGTGGACTGGCAGATGCGAGCCCGCATGTTCTTGTGCCTCGGTTTCCCCTTGGGACCGGCTCTCATGACTTGGCTGACCTCAGCTCCCGGCTCCTGGTGGCGCTGCGGCTTGGAAGCGGCGGGCCCCTGGGGAGGGATTGGGTTGAGCCGAAACCAGAGCTGCCGGCGCCAGGCTGTTCTCGGGTGTCACCCCGTCTGCCCAAGGGTCCCCACAGCCAGGGGAGCCGAGATGGGGGCTTCCCCGGGGGATGGGGCGCCTCGGGCCCTGCTGCCCAGTCCCCCGGGGCGCCCACTGCACTGCCCAGGCCAGCCGCAGCCACACGGCCGGACCCACCAGCTCCCTTTCCCCTCGACCAGCCGCTCCCCAGTCAGAAGTTTCTAGAAAACCCTCTTTTCTGTGACTCTGGCGGGGGGGGGGGGTCACCCACCCCCGCCTGGCCTCGCCGCCTCGGCTCTGGGCATCGCTCTGGGCAGGGACCTTCCTTGCTGGGAAGCCCCAGGGCGGGCTCAGCGCCCAGGCCGGGGCCTGTGCAGTGTGGGGAGGGCCGGTGGGCCGGCGAGCTCGCCTCCCGCTTCCTGTTTGCCGCCGGCTGCACTTCCTTGCGGGAACCCAGCTCCTCCCCCTGCCCTGGCCCAGGAGTGATTGGGTGTCCGATTCGCGCTGCCCCTGCTGCCCGGGCGGGGCAGGTGGTGGGGCCAAGGTCAGCTGTCGACCTGGGGGTGTGGGCCTGGCACGCGGGCCCTGGGGAGGAGGCTCTGGGGGCCCAGCGGGGTGAGCTGTGGAGGCTGCGTCAGGGTCGCGTGACCCCTATTCTGCTGGAGGCGTCTCCCCTGCAGCTGGCGTGGCCTGCAGGCCGAGCCGCTATCTGCGCCACTGGGCTGGGCGGGCTGCCCATGCTGGACGGCACACGGGGCAGTGGTGGCACCGTGGCCTGACCTGGGGTCGCCCACCCTAGAGAGGCCCGGGAGAAGCGCTGGCTGGCAGGGCTCTGCTTGACCCCGGGCTGCCTCCCGGGCTGATCCCGGCCGCCCCACCTGCTCTCCGGACAGAGCCCGCCCCCCTCCCACTGCATGCCGAGGGCCCTGGCGTAGCCCAAATGCCCGCCGCTTGCCTGGTCCCCTACCTGCCATGGCCAGGGGTGGCTTCAGGCTGGCCCGGAGGCTGCCGTCGCGGAGGCAGCTGTGGGGGGCGGCAGGGTCACGCCCTAGTTGCATCCCAGGGTTTTACTGCCGGAAAGATGCTCGTGTGAAAGCGGAACTGCTCTCTGCTGGGCTCGGCTGGCCACTGCCCCTGGCCGCCAGCGCCCGGCCGCACTCCCCACCCTGGGGCTCGGGCTCGCCTCAGACACGAGGGGCTCTGGGAATTAAGCCTGGCCTGCCGATGCCCCCCCGGCCGCTGGCGGGGATCAGTGACCGGCTTTCTGTGCCGCCTGGAGACGGCGCGCGGGCCGGCCCCGACCCCTGCTCCTGCCCGGCTCCTCGGCGCCCCCCCCCCTGCTCTCTGTGCGGCCAGCCCCATCGTGAGCGGGCAGGAAGGTGCAGGGAGCACGGCCGAGGTGAGCAGCCTCCTCCAGGATTGGCTCCTGCCTGTTGGGCTCCGCGGCCCTGGGAGGGCCGGTCAGGGGAGGCCGCTGCTCCCCGGCTCGCCCAGGAGGCGTCTGCGGCGGCACCTCAGCCTGGCCTTCCCCCGGGACCGCTCAGCGCTGGCCTCTGGGCAGGACGCCTGCGCCCGCTTCTTGGCTTCCTCTCTGGTGACCGAGGCCTGCGGCCTGGGGTCTGAGCTGCCTGCTGGGGTCCCGCCCCACCGCCTGGCCTGGATCCTCCAGCCCCGGTCCGCGCCCCCGCCGTCCCCGCCAGCCCCAACGCCTCGTCCTGGGAGACAGCGTCCTCGCTTAGGCCTCGTGCCGGCCCCGTGCATCGTGGACGCCGCTGGCTGCGGCTGGCGGCTGGGCCGGGCTGCCTGGGAGGCAGGCGGAGCAGATCTAGACCTGCCGGCGCCTCCTGCTCCCGGCCGGCTCCGGTGCCTGCCCTGGGCCCCTGCACTGACCCGGCCGCTTCCCCGACAGGAGATGGGACCCCCCGAGAGAACAGCCCCTTCATCAACGTGGAGGCCGAGGGCGAGAGTTTCTTCGAGGGGAAGAACATGGCGCTGTTTGAGGTGACCGGGTGCCCCGGGCGGTGGCGAGAGCCGCTGGTCAGGATGGGTGCTGCCTGTCCAGGGGTCACGCGTCCGCACAGGGCTGCGCTGCTGCAGCGGGGCCTGACCTGGGCGTTTCTGGGCCAGGAGGAGATGGACAGCAACCCCATGGTGTCTTCGCTGCTCAACAAGCTGGCCAACTACACCAACCTGAGTCAGGGCGTGGTGGAGCACGAGGAGGCCGAGGACAGCCGGCGGCGCGAGGCCAAGGTGCGTGGGCCCGGGCGGCTTCCTGCTCCCGGCGTCTGGCCGGTGGCCAGCGCTGCCTGTGGCCAGCCTGCCCACACATGCCGCCTCTCAGGGCCGGAGCCCGGGCACCCCCACCTGTGTGCAGGCTGAGGCCGGCCACTGTCCCTGCCCGTGGCTGCTGTCCCGTCCAGGGGCTGCTGTCTCGTCCAGAGCCAGCGTCCCATCCAGGAGCGCTGTCCTGTCCAGAGCTGTTGTCCTGTCCAGGGGCCGCTGTCCCGTCCAGAGGGCTCTGCCCCCACCCAGGGGCCACTGTGCCATCCAGGGCCTGCTGTCCCGTCTAGGGGTGCTGTCCTGTCCAGGGGCTGCTGTCCCCGTCCAGGGATGCGGGGTCGGTGCTGAGCCCTCGGGCTGCTCTGGCTCTGCCATCCCAGGGCCTCAGCTGCCCCCTCCCGGCACCCAGCCCTGCACGGCCGAGGGCACCCAGCACCCACTCTCTGTCCTGCAGAGCCCGCGCATGGGCACCTTCATCGGCGTCTACCTGCCCTGCCTGCAGAACATCCTGGGCGTGATCCTCTTCCTGCGGCTCCCCTGGATCGTGGGGGCGGCCGGCGTGCTGGAGTCGCTGCTCATCGTGTCCCTGTGCTGCACCTGCGTGCGTGGCGGGGCGGGCAGGGGCGGCCGTCCGGGAGGGAGGGAGAGAGGGTGTCCCGGGGACTCTGGCCAGGGACCGCCAGGCGCCCAGCCCCTCTGCCCAGCGGGCGCGGCTGGTGTCCCTGACCCGCGGCCTCACGGCCCTCCGGGCCCCGCCTGTTCTCCCTGCTCCGCGGCGCATGTCGGGAGCGTCTGCAGCAGCAGAGGTGAGGTGTGGCCCCACAGGACCTCGCCGTGTCCCCCTGGCCCCGGGGCCCTCTGCCTGTGGGGGCTGCTTACCCGAGCAGGTGAGGGCCAGGCGAGCAGGTGAGGGTCCTCTGTGCCCACAGGACGGGCCTCCGGAGAGAGCTGGCCCCACACGGCCCCTCCCCAGTGGCCGCAGTGGGTGCCCTGGGCGGGCGTGTCCTGCAGCCCGGGGCCCCTCCGGCCTGGACCCGGGCCCTCCGCATGGGCTGGCGAGGGGGGTGTGGCCGCGCCGCCCTCTCAACGCGCCGCCTCCCCGCAGACCATGCTCACCGCCATCTCCATGAGCGCCATCGCCACCAACGGCGTGGTCCCAGGTGAGCTGGGGCGGGGCGGGAGGCCAGCGTGTCCTCTCTGCGCGGCCGGGCCCGGCGCCCGTGGGCTGGGTGGGTGCCTGGCCGTGTCCCCGCGGGCGCAGCCGCGTGGGGCTGTTCCGGGGTGGGGGAGCGTGAGGCGAGGGGGCTTGGGGTGCCCCGCTGGTGGGGTGGGGCGGGTGCCACGGCAGGGGGTGTCTCTGGATCGGAGGGGGGCCGTGTCTGCCGTGGAGCGGGCCTGGGGGCGCTGGTGCCAGGAGTGTCGAGTGGCGGGGACGGCGGGGCTGGTGGCCTCCGGCCCGGCCCGCTCCCGACCACCTCTGCCTGGCGTCCCCACAGCCGGCGGCTCGTACTACATGATATCCCGGTCTCTGGGGCCCGAATTCGGGGGGGCCGTCGGCCTCTGCTTCTACTTGGGGACGACGTTTGCGGGGTCCATGTACATTTTGGGGACCATCGAAATTTTCTTGGTGAGTGATTTGCCTGGGGCTGGACTCCCTGCTGCACCTGCGGCGCACGGCGGCTGGTGGGGCCTGGGGGGTGCCCGGCGTCTGCCTGGCCGAGGGCACACCCGTCCTCCTCCGCTGCCCGGGGCACCTGTCCCTTGGAGCAGGGCACGAGCCGTGCTCGGCCTGCAGCCCAGCGCCCCTCCAGATCCAGCCCGGCCCTTGGGTCTGCCCGCCGGGCCCTGCAGCAGCCCTGGAGTTGGGGGGCCTGGGGGGTCCTCAGCAGGGCCCTGAGCCTTTGGTGCGGCCCTGGCCGCCCGGCACGTCCAGCTGGGACTTCACTCCTGCAGACAGACATGTCGCTTCCCGTCAGGGACAGCGGGCGCTCTGCCAGCGAGCTCTGCTAGCCCAGGAGGGGCCGGGCCCTGCTTGAGGGTCCGCCCCAGTGCCTTCTGGGGTGTGGCGGGAAGGGGCCCCATGAAAGGTCTGGGGCCTGCTCCCCGCGGTGTGCGGGCGCCGGCAGCGCCCCTGACCCGCCGTGGCCCCCTGTCCGCAGACCTACATCTCCCCCAGCGCGGCCATCTTCCAGGCCGAGTCCGTGGGGGGCGAGGCGGCCGCGCTGCTGCACAACATGCGTGTGTACGGCAGCTGCACGCTGGCCCTCATGGCCGCCGTGGTCTTCGTGGGCGTCAAGTACGTCAACAAGCTGGCCCTGGTCTTCCTGGCCTGCGTGGTGCTGTCCATCCTCGCCATCTATGCCGGCGTCATCAAGACGGCTTTTGACCCCCCGGACATCCCGTGAGTCCCGGGCGCTCCTGACCCTGCCGCCCGGCCCCGCTCCGGCCTCTGGGCACGGCTGTCTGGGCCTGGGCCGGGGCCAGCCAGCCGGTGGGGCGGGTCAGCAGCCCCCAAGCCAGGCGGCTGTGGGCTCAGGTGGGCGCGGGCCCGGCGGGGCGCGGGCAGGGCGGGGCCGCCAGGGGGCGCTCCCGAGCCTCGTGGCTGCGGAGGGGCAGGGAGGCCCCAGGGGCCGGGCAGGGGGCGCTGCTGACCTGTGCTGGCTCCACCCACGGCCTGAGCCCAGCACCGGTCCCTTTCCGGGCGCCCCTCCCCGCCCCTCCCGCAGGGTCTGTCTCCTGGGGAACCGGACGCTGGCCCGGCGCGGCTTTGAGGCCTGCGCCAAGGTCCACGCCACCGGCAACGGCTCGGTGCCCTCCACCCTCTGGGGCATCTTCTGCAACGGCTCGACCCTCAGCGCCGCTTGCGACGGCTACTTTGCCCAGAACAACGTCTCGGAGATCCAGGGCATCCCCGGCGTGGCCAGCGGCGTCCTCCTGGGTGAGCCCCGCTCTCACCCGCCTGCCCGGGCTCACCCCGGTGCCCTGGGAAGCTGGGGCGGGCCCGTCCCCGTGCGCCCCACGACCAGCCGCTGTCCCCACAGACAACCTGTGGAGCACGTACGCCGAGAAGGGCGCCTTCGTGGAGCAGCCGGGCGTGGCCGCAGCACCGGTGCCCGAGGAGAACCGGGCGGCTGGGCTGCCCTACGTGCTAGCCGACATCACCACCTACTTCACCATGCTGGTGGGCATCTACTTCCCCTCCGTGACCGGTGAGCGCCCTCTGCCCCCGCCGCTCTGTGCGTGCGCGTGTGCGAGCGGCCCCACGTCACACCGGTGTACACGCGCCCTTCCCGAGCCGCCTCGGCCACCTGCTGCCCCTGCAGGCCCCAGCGGGCTGACCCCCGCCCTGGCACTGCCCTGCCCCTGGCGTCCTGGGTCCGCAGCTGTGGGGGGAGGGCATGAGCGCGCCGGGTGAGCGGGGCCAGGTGGCGGGGCCGTGGCGTGAGTGCTGGTGGGTCCGTCCGGAGCCCCCACCCATGTGGGGGCTGCAACCGGCCTGGAGCTGACCTGGCTGGTCACTGCTGGTCATGAACTCACCATGCCGGCCCTGCACCTCCTGCACGAGCCCAGGGGCTGGACGAGCTCACGGGACCCCCCGCCTTAGGGGGACGACAGAGGGGTCAGGTCCCAGCTGACATGCCCCGAGGTGGCCTGGGCAGCTTCCTGGGCGCCGGCGGTCAGCCTGCAGTAGGGCAGCTGTGCTTGGGGCGCCCTCACTCCCAGCCCTGTGGCAGCCTCTGGTGGCAGCTCCCCACACACACACGGTGACGCCCCCACCCCACAGGCATCATGGCAGGCTCGAACCGGTCTGGGGACCTGCGGGATGCCCAGAAGTCCATCCCCACGGGGACCATCCTCGCCATCGTGACCACGTCTTTCATTTGTATCCTTAGAGGGGCAGGCACCCTGGCTCCCGGGGGCGGGCTCCCGGCCAGCCACGTCCCTCGGTGCCGCATGGGTCACGGGCCACCCCCGCCCTGGCACACCCGGGTCCCAGGCAGGGTCCCTCGATGCCACCGTCCCACGCGGCTGTCCCCCCGGCTCCCACGGTCACGCGTGTCCTCGCTGCTTGCAGCCTTCCCAGTGCTGCCTCATCCTGCTGTGCTCACCGAGGTCCTTCCCCTGGCAGCAGGGCCGTTCTGCTCAGGACACACAGGCTGCCCAGTGCCCACACCCACCCGGTGCCCACTGCCCACGCCCAGTGCCACTCCCACTCCCGGTGCCCACTGCCCACGCCCAGTGCCCACTCCCACTCCCGGTGCCCACGCCCAGTGCCCACACCCACTCCCGGTGCCCACTGCCCAGGTCCCACACCCGCTCCCGGCGCCCGCTCCAGGCCCAACTCCCACCATCCTTGACGCGGCCGCAGACCTCTCCTGCATCGTGCTTGTTCGGCGCCTGCATCGAGGGCGTGGTCTTGCGGGACAAGTACGTGTGTCCTCGCGCACGGCGTCCAGCGCCCTCTGGGGACACTGGCTTTCTTGAAGCTCAAGCCCTTGCTTCCCGGTGTTTACAGTCTTGTGGGGCCGGGGGCCCCAACTGCCCTGCGCTGTGCGCTGATCTCTACCCTCCCACCCGCTCGAGCCCACTGTGGGGGCCACGGGCACCCTGACCATGGTGGAGCTGGGGTGGGGCTGCGGGTGAGGCTGTGCCCGGGCTGGGCAGTATCTCTGTGCCCTTGCGGCCACCTTGCCCCCCAGTTCCCTCCTGGAGCCCAGCTTGTCCCCGCAGGTTCGGGAGGCCCTGCAGGGCAACCTCGTCATCGGCATGCTGGCCTGGCCGTCCCCCTGGGTCATCGTCATCGGCTCCTTCTTCTCCACCTGTGGTGCAGGGCTGCAGAGCCTGACGGGGGCGCCGCGCCTGCTGCAGGCCATCGCCCCGCGACGGCATTGTGCCCTCCCTGCAGGTGGGCGCGGCTGTCTGCGGCGGGGGGCTGGGAGGGCCTGGGCGGCCACTGCGTGGACCCTGGCCCCACCCCCAGCGGCACGTGCTGGGGTGAGGGCAGAGACCTGAGAAGCGCAGCCCACTGGGCCTGCACGTCCAGGGGCTGGAGCTCTGCTGTGGCCCCCAGACATGGCCTGGGGACGTGGCGTGAGCAGGACACGGCTCAGGACCCTCTCGTGGTCAGGGCGGGCCCCAGTGCCGCTCCCCTCTGGGCGGCCCCGCCCACAGCCACCTGCCCCCCCAGGTGTTTGGCCACGGCAAGGCCAACGGGGAGCCCACGTGGGCGCTGCTGCTCACGGCCCTCATCTGCGAGATCGGCATCCTCATCGCCTCCCTGGACAGCGTGGCCCCCATCCTCTCCATGTGAGTGCCGGGCGGGGGGCACCCCGCAGTCGAGCCCGGCCCTGCTGGCCGTCTGCCGTGGCGGGGCGGCCGCCGGGTGGTGACCGGCCGCTGCGCCGCG